GACATTTTGGGCCAGATAATTCTTTATTGTGGAGGACTATCCTACACTTTGTAGGGTGTTTAGCGGCACCCCTGACCACCACCTACTAGATGCCAACCGCACCTTTCCTCTCTAGTCATGAAAATCACAACTATCACCAGACATTACCAAATGTCCCCTGTCCTTGGTTGAGAACCACTCATATAAAGATAAGGACTTAGTTAAAACCTATTCTGGACTCTGCATTCCAGGAACATTTCTAAAGTGGTGTGGCTACCATTTCTGGCTTACATCCCCATAAAATTTGTTGTTTAGTCCAATCTCTTCAGAGAAAAGTGTGAACACCCTGTTTCTTGACAAATGACTTTGATGATTAGATTGTACCACAATACGCATCAAAGTACAAGGACAGGGCTTTAGCTCTGCTGTCAAGACAACCGCTGCCTCTTCAAGCAAAAGGGGAATCAAAGACTTATAGGATGCCGGTTGAATCTGAACCTTAAGCCAAAGGCAAGTGCTGTGGCCACGACTGAGCACCTGGCACTTCCCTATGAGAGCTCACTACTCAAGAAAATTGAGACTTCAAATGAGCTTCCACCTAACAAGCTGCAATTTTGTTTCATTGTGGGGAGAGTAGGGGATGAGTTGTGGGAAGAAACCAGAGGAGAATTCAACATATTCAACATAACTATCTATTTGCTAATTCAGCGAGGAGGATGTCAAGACAGTCTTCAGAATTCGCCAAGACAAAAGTGTCATTATCTGTAATTACTGCTTACCAGTAGTACGGATTGATAACAAGCTTTCTCCGCCAATCTTACCCTGCCATTATGAGAAGAGGCGATTAAATTAATTAACAAATCAACTTTTCTGTGCAACATTGGCTTCAATAGCAGAAAATAATGAGAAAAAGTAGTTATTCGAAGGGATGAAATGAAATAGAAATCTGAAGTTAACAACAACATGGATAGGGAGCTGGAATAATCAACAAATGTACACATTTTGACATGAGAAAATCGGATTGCACATTGGCAAATATGGGGCTATTTGTTTAAAGCTATAGTTTAAATGAAAGGTGCTTTATTCCCTCATGAAAAACATATACAATTACAACAAGCAGGCATAACCCAAGACACAGATAATAGGGTGATGAAGGCCTGGGGCAAGGAGCACGGATGGGCTGGAAGGTGTCAAAGGGAGAAAGGGGGACATATTTAATACTTGCAACAATACAGCTTTTAAAAATAAATAAAATCAATAAAAAATATATTTTTTTAATTTCAGCCAGATAAGAAACACCAATCAGAGAGGATTTATGTATCTCTATGTTCATAGCAGCACAATTTATAATAGCTAAGATTTGGAAACAGCCTAAGTGCCCATCAGCAGATTAAAAAACTGGTATACTACACTGCTATAAAAAAAATAATTAATAAATAAATAAAAAGGGCCCTAACAGGTTTGGCTCAGTGGATAGAGCATTGGCCTGAAATGTTTCTAACTATCCCTCTCCCTTCTCCTCTGTAAAAAATCAATACAAATTTTTAAAAAGAAGGAACTCTTACTATTTGCAACAGCATGGATGGACCTGGAAAGCATTTGATAAGCGAAATAAGTCAATTGGAGAAAGATAAATATCACTTGATTTCACTCATTTGTGGGATATATTAAGCAACATAAACTGATGAACAAAAAATCGATCCAGAGACATACAAGCATTGAATAGACCATCCAACCTCAGAGGGAAGGTGGGAGAGGAGAGGGTAAGAGATCAACCAAAGGACTTATATGCATGTATTATATATAAGCATAACCAGTGGAGACAGACACTCGGGAGGTTAGGTCATGTGCTGAGGGTTGGGAATGGCTGGGAAGAGGTCAATGCGGGGGGGGGGGGGGGGGTGTAAAGGAGATTTATGTAATACTTCAAACAATAAAGAATTAAAAGAACAAAATGTTTTGCCAGATATCACTTAAAGACCTCCATCACATTCTCAAACTTTAGTAAATGAAGTTCTGCTGATGGAGGGTCCAAGAAAAAGTCTCTTTCTTAATTTCTGGTTAAGAGTTGCTATAATATCTAAAATTCTCTATGGTTCCTCAACATGGTAAATAATATCCTGGCAAGGACTTAACAATAATACATGAAACAGTGAATAGACAATATTTGCATTGCATAACCCATGATGATATACCAAAAGGAAAGGGAAATATTTTGATTTTCTTAGGTAAACTGAAATTAGCCTTCATCTCTGTGGTTTCATTCAATATATCTAAAAGTTTAGCAAGAAAAATGAGATGTGCTAGGACATCTAAAAAGATGAAAGGTTGATTGAGAGTACAGGAAGAGGGTGAGAATTAAGAAGGCTAAATAATGAAGCAAACAGGTTGAAGAGATGTAAGGGATCAGAAGGCTAAAGGCTACAGAAAGATCAAAAGACTTAAATCCCACGAGAGAGAAGGAAATTGAAACTGAGCAGCTTAATAAGGAATTCGTTTAGAGAAATAATAGCAGCATGCATTTGAGAAAATGGAGCACTTTTTAAGTGTAAGCATTAACTAACACATTTTAATAGCACAAAGTGCTTAATGTGCTATGTATTAAGCTGTTCAGTTTCTCTATTTTCTATTCATTGCCTTGTTTTTTCTACTAGATGATTATGTTTTCTCTTTCTAAACAAAAAAACAAATTAATATACTCAGAGTCCAGGTATTATCATTTCAAAACATGAAAATTAGGCATATGGAATTAAGATTCTTAGTTTTCTTAAAAGGAGAATCAGCGCATTATCTTTTTTTTTTTTAACCCAGAATTTTTTTTAATATTTTTTATTGATTTCAGAGAGGAAGAGAGAGATAGAAATATCAATGATGAGAGAGAATCATTGATCCGCTGCCTCCTGCACACCCCACACTGGAGCCTTCAACCCAGGCATGTGCCCTGACTGGGAATGGAACTGTAACCTCCTGGTTCCTAAGTCGATGCTCAACCACTGAGCCATGCAGGCCAGGCCAGAGCATCATCTCTTCTTCAACCATCTGTTTTTAACCTATTTAATAATATAAGAGTGAGAGTGGTGATTAAAAAGGTTTGTGGCATACCCAGGATTGTGTAAAAGTGACCACTGTTTCTATGAGTGCCTTGGAAAACATGATCCTATGTACCTTTCATTTTCTTCTGGTACCTTCAGGATCACTTCTCCTTTGTCAGGAAGGAAAAAGGAATCAAGTTTTTCTTTAATCTCATTAGCACTCCCCTCCCCTCTCTGTGCAGGAAGACTATCTGGGGAGGTGTTTAGTGAGTTTTATCTGCTGCATTTTTTTTTTTTTTTTTAAACAGGAGACACAAAGGAAAGGAACTCTGGTGGCCTGTCAATTCTGGGCACTGTCAAAAAAAACTGGTGAACCGGTTCGGCTCAGGGGATAGAGCTTCGGCCAGCGGACTGAGAGGTCCCAGGTTAAATTCTGGTCAAGGGCATATACCTTGGTTGCGGGCACATCCCAGTAGGGGGGGGTGCAAGAGGCAGCTGATTGATGTTCCTCTATCATCGATGCTTCTAGCTCTCTATCCTTCTTCCTTCCTCTCTGTAAAAAAATCAATAAAATATATTTTTAAAATAAATAAATAAACCTGGCTGTCATCATAAAGCTGACCCAGGGTGTTTTGCAGAGCACCTAACCTGACCAGAGTCACCCAAGAGCCAATACCTGAGAAACCAGCAAACACGTGGCCCAGAGCAAGATCTGATATGACCAACAGCACATGTTGTTACATTAATCTTTGACAATGAGGAAGGGCTGTTTTATGGAAATTTTAATGTAAAGAATGCTTAAACATTTCCCGGAAACTTTACTTGAAATGGTATCTTCCTCAAGGTTATTTTTTGTTACATAATTTTCACAGATCTCCTTATGCTTTAGTCCCTTGGGAAACAACATGTATCTTTAATATTATATTATTTTTTAATTGTGTTTAAATCCCAAGAACAAGATACTAAAGAGTCATGATCACAACTGCAATTCAAAAGAACCTCAAAAAAAAATCTACATGTAGAGATGTATCTGCATTTTATTTATTTTTTAATGCTTATAAATATTCTAACTCCTTTTCATCTTGTTTCTTTTAAATAAGCTTTCAAACCTTGGAAAAGAATATACTTTTTTGCATTCATTTGAACATCTTTTCCGGTTTAGAACTTGTCTCAAGGAAAAACCTTGAAAAGAAAATTAAAACTTCTTTTTTAAAGCCCACAGCAATTTATTAATATTTTTAAAGCTTTGTGAATGCAGTTGTATTCACAAATTGGATTTGCACTGTTTAATATAAAATAATTGTTTTATTCCCACTTCAAGTGCTTCACTGTTTTCAAGCTTGCTAATTAAATGTTTTATTTTAAAAAAAAAAAACACTGCACAAGTTTCTCAAAACTTCATCTGCACCTGCTTCATAAATAAAAAGATGTCCTTGGAACAACTCCAGTTTATTAAGTGGGAAGCCATTTATTTCACACAAGAATCCAGTCTTTTACCTGTAAGCTTTAACATGAGTTACTGTGCATTGTGTTCTTTCACCTTCTTCCTGATGTCAATTAATACAAGCATTTTCCGTGTATACCAGGGGAAAAAAGACATGTTGTTTAGCATGCCACTTCCATTGTCTAATGCCTCTATGCGTGTGTTCAACTGACATCTCTGTAAAGCTATTTGGTGGTTCTATCTTTCAGCCTAGCCCTTTTGGTCTTTCCCCATCATCCTTTTTCCTAACAAGATTGTGTAGTGTGATCTGATGAGATATAGGGATTGTATGGAGCAGTAAAACTGCTACAACTTCTCAGAAATGTCCATAGCACAACTCAAATTAGTAAAATGCTTTCTAACATAGAAAAAAAATTAGACACACCAAATGTTTTTGTTGTTTTTTTTTGTTTTTTGTTTTTTTTTTAAGGGACTTTATTGTGCTCACGTCAAAGCGCAGGTCTTTGCAGGACAGGAAAGTGAGATTGACAGCAGGGAGCAAGCCCCTACTTGCCAGCGATGAGGGGGTTCCGCAGGACCACGATGACCGAGTCCCCGCGCAGGAACATCTTGGAGATGTAGCGGTCCTTGTTGACTGGCTTGGACTTCTTGCCCTTACCACTCTTGGGGACCTCGGTCCACATCTCCTTCACATTCTCCAACACCATGTTGCAATGCCTGTCAAAAGCCTTCACGCAGCCCAGGAGCTTCTTGTTGTTGCGACAGTTGATGAGCACCTGGGTGTTGTTCTTGACTGACTGCGTGAGCCCAGAGCGTGGGCCCGAGGTAAACTCTTCCTCCTCCCGCTTCTGCAGCTCCTCCGGGGTCATCTCACTCTTGGGCTTGTTGAGAAGGCTCATGGTGGCGGTGGTTGCACTCTCAAAAGGCTCCCATCCTCGGCGTTGCCACGGCCTTGGAAGGGAAAGCCCACACCAAACGTTTTAGGACCACAAAGACTTTTTCCTTGCCAGAAGCATTGAAATGGGTAAGATTAAACACTTTAGCCACACTCTACGCCAACCACCTCTGGGACACTCTCACCTCTTGTTAAGAACAGGAACAGAGCATACAGTTTGTGAATTAGTTGCTATTCCAGTTTGTAAGAATGGGGGGTGGGGGGTGAAGAGCCAGGATAATGTATCCTGTAGCTTTAATTCCACCACATTGCCTGTGGACTTCTATCCCAGAGATACTATAAATAGTAGAGATGTATGGAAGGAAAGAAAAATGTCCACTTAAAAAAAAAAAAAAACTCTCTTTTACCTTCTCAATGAAGTATTTTGAAATCATCAATTAGCACTGATTTGCCTATATAATAAATTATCTTTGCTTCACAGTCTTTTTGGGTGGCTTCCAAGATGTAAAATAAGGCATTTTGTATTATTAAGATGGTCATGATGACTGGTTATTTATCTGGCCATAGACTATACCAACTGAGAGATTGATATTGCTCTATGCTTGGTTTTAATATAATTCTTAAAGTAATTTTTGTTTAAATATTACTTAATTTTTATTTAATGTAATTATTGAAATACATTTCACCTTGATCATATCTTAAAGTCCAGTCTGTAAATTTAGAGCATTTGCTTTATCTGTTAAATTTTTTTAATATATTTTTATTGATTTCAGAGAAGAAGGGAGAGGGAGAGAGAAATAGAAACATCAATGATGAGAGGGGATCATTGATCGGCTGCCTCCTGCATGCCCCCTACTAGGGATTGAGTGGGCAACCGGGGAATGTGCCCTGACTGGGAATCAAACCAGTGACTTCCTAGTTCATAGGTTGATGCTCAACCACTGAGCTACACCAGCTGGCTCTTATCTGTCAATTTTAAGATTTGCTTTCTCTATCCCTAAATTAGAGATAGATGAATTTTGATATATTTTATAGAGATATAAAGTATAGGTATTATAGGTATTGATAAACCATTTGAGAGTCAACTGCATAACACTTCACTCCTTAAATCTTCACACCTATACACTTTAGTGTACATCCCCTAAAAAATAACATTCTCCATTTTAACCTTAATACAATTAACAAACTTAGATAATTAAACATTACCCCAACACTACTATCTTATATATAATAATATTCAGATTTCTTTAATTGTCCCAATAATGTCCCTTAAAAGTGGGTTTAAAGAGAAACCAAGATGGCAGCATAGGGTAGACACCTGAATGCAGCCTACCACAACAAATTTGAATTTAGAACTGGAAAACAGGGGAAACGTTGCCCTGAAGTGCTGGATGGCTGGCTGAGAGGAAGCTCTACCATCTGGGAAGGAGAGAGAAGGCACGCTGAACTTCAGGAACTGTGAAGGTGCAGAGAACTGTGTGCGCGAAAAGGTAGCTGCAGAGTTCGCTGCTGGCTTGCTCGCGGAGCACGGAGAGGGCAAGTCGAGTTCCCTACGGGCTTACTCCCTGCGTGCGGAGAGGGTGGACAGCTAATGCTCGGTGGCTAGCTTTCTTGTTTGGGAGGAAAACAGAACCACCCTATTGCTCTGACAGACGGCCCCAGTCAGGGAGAGGCCAGACTGTCAGGCAGTGGACAGAGATCTCTCGGAGATGTGTGAAGCCAGCGGCCATTACTGCCGGACTCAGAAACCAGACCCTGATAGGGAGGGGCTGAAAAAAGTTTGTCTGTACCACCACGAGACTCCACCCCATCCAAGCAGAGCACAGAAGCCCTTCCAGCGGCTAGCTTCCTCAATCACCGCGAATAGGACTCTCCAAGAAAGGGACAGACAGGAATCCAAAGCTTGTCTGCGCCTATACCAAAGAGGTGTGTGCGCCTGCAGCTAATCTTATGGGATTCAACAAAGCTTGGCTGGGCCACCCTGAGACTTCAACCCCATCCACGCGGAATACAGAAACCCTCCTAGCTGAGACACTTTTGATCCTCATAGCCCAGTTGGCTTGGAGATCAATGCTTCCCAGTGATACCAACAACAAACAAGACTGCACACACAGCCCAAAAAGGGCTAGACCAAGACTTTCCACCTCAGGTAACTGGGAGGCTGACCCACTCAACCATATAGGACCTCTTAGCACACAAAGCCACCCTACCAACTCAGGGAAGCTGTTAAAATGCCGAGACAAAGAAACAGATCACAAACAAAAGAAATGGAGGACAAGAAGCGACTGGATATAGAGTTCAAAACCACGCTTATGAGGATCAAATTAGTTAATACTAGTATAAAGAGCTTAGGACAGTGTCTGTAACACTGCTTGCTACTATTATTATTATTTGTTAAATGAATGAAAAAACAAAAACAAAAAGGGTTATCACCCCATAGGAAAACATTTGCCAGAACAACTACATACTGATTCATTAATTTCATTCTTAAAGTATGTATTAATTGCCTATTAACTTTCTATTGCAATGAGTGGTATTTTAGATTTTTAAAATGATGTATAGCTTCAGTCCTAGCAGAGCTCACATTTTAATAAAGATGACAGATTCATAAACAAAGATTTGAATGTGTTATAAATATGATAATATTGATATGTGCAAAATGCATTAAGAACAATTATTATTGCAAAAAATTCTAGAAAGACTTTACCAAAAAATATAATATTTGAGCTGGACCTCTCTCTGCACTGAGCAAATAGAAAGCATTCTAAGCAGAGGTGGCAGCATTAGTAAACATCAGTCCATGCCTTAGTCTCCCTGCAGCCACATCAACCTCACTCATCTTCCCTTCTGTAAACCCAGTCCTACGCCTGCTCCAGTGATGAGGTGGCACAGTGACATCATGATGTGTCCAAGGTAACAAGAGACCAAGTGGAGCTAAGGTTCCTCTCTCTGGGTCACCTACTCATTTCATGCTAGATCAGGAGTATGTGTGCTTATCCTGGCTCCCAAGCACTGTCTATATAAGCACGCTCCATTCCTGGATCCATTTGTCCTGATATCTCACACAAGTGGAACAAATGAAAATCTCCCTCATCTTACTCTGAAAATAAATCAGCATTATCACTATGTTATACATTGGTTAGTCTCTCCTCCTTTTGCACTCCAACAGGACTTTGAAATCCTTGTTTACCTGCCTGAGACTATTACTTAACAACTCCCAGATAGCCTTTCTGATTCCACTCTTGCCTTGCTCCACAATACTTTCTCCACTCAGCAGCCAATGTGACCTTTGAACCACCCATCTTTGTAGCTTTTATGACTATACAGTGACTCAACGATGTTTCATGAATGAGCGAATGAACAAAAGAACCCACAAATGAATGAACGTAAAACTATACAACATATGTACACATTCTTTCTATTATTATAAGTAATACTATACATGCATATATAATACAAAGATATTGTGGTCTGTATTATTCCACATATCAATATTTTTTCATGTGAAAGTTTAGAAAACCTTAGAAAGAATTTAATGAAGAACCTATGGTATATGATAACCAAACCTACTAAATACAAAAAAAAAAAAAAAAAAAAAAAGGAATAGTAACTAGTTAGTTATAGAAAGACAATAAAGCTATAAAAATAGAAAAGACCAAAAGTTTATTGAAGTAAAAGAAAAATTATTATATTACTGCTATTGCAATGCATAAACAGTAGATGTATAACCACCTGACACTATCACTGAAAAGGAAGAGAAAGCTGTTTTATTTTCCTTTCTTCAATTTCCTGCCTTTTTTTTTCCCCAAAGGGTGGTTCAAAAAAAAAGGAAACAACCAATAAGCCAAAGTTAATGGGGAAAAACATACATGTTTACATATCATGCATTATTATCTACCAATCAGAAGAGTTGCAGGTAATTAGAAATTGTTGGCTTAAAGTGACCATGTTTTTTGATCAAGAGCCACTTCTCCGTGTACTGGCAGATATCCACTGGTTTGTCTGAATTCAGTTTGCTTGCACTGGGCCTGACAGGCAATGAACATGGCCAGCTGGTTTCCAGAGCAATCCACTCGCTGGTCTGAGGAAGGCCTGTGAGACATGTCATAAAACAGCTGCCTCTATCTCCCCAACTAGCCACAAATAAGCTGAGCCGAACAAAACCTTGAATAAAAAAAAACCTCGACTTTTCATGCAAGGACAAAAGGTGGTTATTAGGCATACCAGGAAGGTTCTTTCATAGCTGGTAATTACATATAAATTGGGGACATATAATAAGAAAAAAATTATTTCCCTCTTCATTTACTTAAAAATGTGATTTCTGCCGTCATTATATAATTACTGGTATTTTTCAGTAACATTATTAGAAATAAATGGGCTACTGTTTCTGCAATTATAAAAGATAAAAATACTGAAACTTCCTTGTTAGAACTGGTTGTTGAGTAGGTGGAAAGGGAAAATGGCCTGTTTCTCTAAACTGCCAAACCAAACTTTCTTCTATGCACACGGCATCAACCTCGCATTTTTCACCTTTTGAAAAATTGATTTGTCCCATTTCTCACATACTCTTTCAAGCCCTCCATCTTGTGTAATTTCTGCTTTCTGGCTTACTGTTCTTTATTGATGCTGACCTCTAAAGAAAACACCCCTAGCACCCAGAATCCCGCTGTTTCATGCTTCCCAGACAACGTGACAGTAAAGAAAAGGAAACAGAGTCCTGTTTTTACTTTCTAGGCTACTTTGAGAGCTCAGGAGAGTCACCTCAGCAAAAGTATAAAGCATTTCTTTGTTTTCTCATGACTTTCAACATTTTTCTTCCTGTGCCTTCTACCCACTCAACAGTCTCTATTCTTAAAGATCCCCATATAAAAACCTGAACCACGTGCCAGATGGGAGGGAGGTTAAGGTGCATAAAAAGGGTAAAGGAATTAAGAAGTACAGATTGGTTATTACAGAATAGTCATGGGGGTGTAAAGTACAGCATAAGGAATATATCAATAATAT